AGTATCTAAAATATATTGTTGTTTCTATATCATCATTTTCACCATTGCCACAGCTTTTGCTTGTAGTTAATAACAATAGGTGTCCATGATTGTATAATTGTAGACAAGAGTGGGCTTCTCGAAACGACAAACTTAGTGTCATGAGCGGAAAATAAATAGGCTAAATAAATTTTTCCCTAAAAGAAAATAAGGAAAATATCAGCCCATGTAAGAATGAATTGGGGGAATGGGATGGAATAGACCTAGGGATGTATGTGGGTCAAGTTTCCGATCAATCAGATACGACCAATAAACATATACTCTTTATATGAAACTTGAGTTGATTCAGATTTAGAGTGACATTCGACTCAAAATCTGACCCATTTTTTGAGATAAAACTCGTATCCATATTTGACCCGATTCCACCCAACATATATATATATATATATATATATATAATTTTATTTATTTTGAAAAAATAAGATCTAATTAAAAAAATAATATGGATAAGAGTATTATTACAATTAGAGTTAATTGCATTATGTGTACCTAAACTATGATCTTTATTTTAAATTGGTCTTTAGACTTTTGAATATTCCAATTTAATCTCTAAACTATGATTCTCATTCTAAATTGGTCCCAACACTTTTGATTCTTCCAATTTCATCCCCAAATTCTTCCAAATATGCAATTAGTTTCAGCCGTAGTTTAACCTAAATTTTATTTTTCAAACATATAATAATATAAATTGGTCTAACAATTTTATTAACAAGAGATATGATTAGTATATACGTATAATTTGGGATGAAATTGAAATGTTTAAAAAGTTTAGGGACCAATTTAGAATGAAGATCATACTTTGGGGATGAAACTGAAATGTTCAAAATTTTAAGAACTAATTTAGAATGATAGTCATAGTTTAAGGATAAAATTGGAATACTTAAAAGTTCAGGGACTAATTTAAAATGAGGGTCATAATTTAAAGATGTATAATGCAATTAACTCTTACAATTATCCCCGAATATATATGATATAATTATATTATTTTTCGAATTTGACTCGACCCAACTCGAGTGTATATTCTAAAAGACTTGACGTGATCCGAATCAAACTAATTTTTTACTAAAAAAACATAACTCAATAAGATCAGATCTGGTCAAAATCCCTCAAGTTCGAATCTCTTGTAAGAGGCTGACATTATAGAGGGTCTTAAGTCTTTTAAATTTTTGAATATTAGTATTTGAGGCTTTAATTTTTTTAATTTAATTATTTTAAAATTTTCATTAGATTTTTAATATTTTTAATTAAATCTTTTATTATTTTTAAAAATTTTGAACAGGTTTTAATTTTTTTTAAAATTAATTTAAAAAATTTGAAGTATCGTAAACTACTCAAATGACTACTAAATTATGGGGTTGGTATTGATATGACAACCTTACTTTTAATTTTGTTAATATTACCACATAACTATTTAAGTGGTTTCAATGTAGCCACATGCCGTTAAAATTTAACGGAGCTACACATACCGTTAAAATTTAAGGGTGCAACTGACGTGACGGTTAATAAAATTAGTATAATTGTATATTCAATCCTCATAACTTATGCATTCTATCAATTTGTTCACAATTTTAAATTAATCCAAAAAATTTAATTCTCCAATCAAATTATGACATGTATCATGTCATGATATTATTGGAGGACTTTTTCTTAATATTAATTTATTCAATATTGAATTAATTGTCAAATTACATCCAATTTGATAGAATGTATAAGTTATGAGGACTAAGTATATTGATATGATTGAAGGACTATATTGATATGATTGGAGGACTTTTTCTTAATATTAATACATTTAATATTAATTTGATTAGAGAATTAAATTATTGAATTAATTTAAAATTAGAACCAAATTGATAGAATGTATAAGTTATGAGGACTAAATATATAATAATATTAATTTTATTAACTGTCACGTCAACTACTCCATTAATTTTAACGACAGATGACTACAATGAAACCACTTAAATAGTTATATTGTCATATTATCAAAATTGAAAGTACATTGATCATGTTATATCAACATCAATCTCATAATTAAATGGTTAGTCGAATAATTTACCCTTAAAAATATTAAATTTTGTTCCTAAATTGTTTTGTCAAGATTTATTAGTGCACCAACCTTTTTATTCTTTTAGCCCAAATCAAGTTTTTGACCTTTTCATTTTGGTCATAGGTTAACACTTTATTTTTCTTCAATTAGAATTCATAAAATTTAAGCAAAATCAACACATCTCCTTTGTATTCAACATCACATATATTAAGCCTCAAAAGTTGAAAAAGTAACCCAAAATTCAAAGTAAACAGTTCGATTAACCTACTATATATATTTATTCTTTTACACTGTTAATTTCTGTTAAATCAACATAAATGCATGAATGTAACCAATGTCATAGATTATACTATTGTAAATGGCACTGACATGTTGTTTTTAATCCCTCTGCTCTATTATTGGTGGTTCCCATGTGATGTTTTTATTATATATGTTGTTGTCACGTTACTTACGGAAACATAGCCCCCCACTCATACCAATTTGTGTTTTATATTTTGAACCTACTCTCCTAAATTATTAAGCATCCACATCTACCCCTTCCAATCTAAATTTTGAAAACCTATGTTCAGAGATGAACGAAGAAGGGTAGATAAGGGCGATCAGTTACCCTAAAATTTTAATATTACAATATATATTAGATTTTTTTTTTGTGTATTTTTATTAAAAATATATTTTCATCTTATTAAAATTTTATAAATTTGTCTCTTATTAAAACTTTAAAAATTTGTTTTCTAACATACGCCTGTCCCGGTTTATGTTTATTGTTTAGGTTTAAATTGAAGCAGTTAAGTAACTCCACCGCCCTCCATTCAATGTAAACTGCTCTTTTTCTAACAATTATAATATACTACTTCTCCAACCCCCATCCCCACCACTTCTTCACCTTCTCCAACAGACTCCGAGACATCAGCTGACCGCGTCTTCTTTGCCCGCAGTTCCGGCTTAACAAAGTGAGTTCTTGCTTCTTTTTTCTCATGCTTTCTTCGGGGTCTTGTTTTCTTGCTCTCTTTGTTCATTTGGCTTGGATTTTTTCTCTCTTCTCATTTTGGTTTTAGTTTATTACTTGTTATGTATTGTTGTTGATTATGATTCTGTTATTTTGGATCTGGATGGTTGATTATTTGACATGTACCATTTCTGAGATCGGACGGTTATAGTGATTGGGCCGGTGTACATCTATAACAGTCGAGTAAAAACGGCTTATTATATATTTTTGGGTAAACTGTTATTTGGTCATCAACCTATTACTTAGTTTTTGTTTTGGTCATTCTACTATTATTTTTTCTAAAATCATACCTAATGTTAATTTTTTAATTGCTGGTGACCATAACCTAATATTATGTATGATTTAAAGAAAAAATAATAGCCGAGTGACCAAAATAGAAACTAAGCAATAGGTGGTGACCAAATAAGTAATTTACCCAATAATTTTTTTTTGCATAAGTTGTAATTTCTTATGTATCTATCTTATAATTTCTTTATATTATACTATGGTTTATTTGTGCATTTTATTTTGACAATATAGTATAAAATTTAAAGTTGTACTTTTAAGAAATTGAATCTAAATCAGGCAATGAAATGTGAAACAAAATTGAATGAATGTGATATTTTTATAAAAAAATAAAAAGAGTTTTCGAGAAGCATGATAGCCATTGGAAGTATCCTTGTAAATTTTAATCCAACAAACGTAAGCGTTTGTTGTCCTTTCTTGTAATCTAAGTTTTACATTTTAGTGTGTGTGTGTAATTTTTAAAAATATATTTTGATTTTTTTTATATTTTTTTCAAAAAATTAGAATCAATATTAAATTAATATAATTTATAAATGTTAGGACTTAAATAATCAAATCCAATTAGTTAAGTGGTTAAAATATAATTTTAATAATTTGATGATCAAAATATAATTCATTATTAGTCAAGTGACTATGGTTGTAGATTACTCAAAGGAAAATAATAATAATAAGTTCTAAATATACTTTTTAGTATCTGAATTAGACGTCTTCTCCCAAATTAGTATATGAAATTTAATTTCATTACTCTTTTTATATTTTTATTAACGATGTTAATTTTTAATCACATGATAACATAAAATCATATAATATATTAAATATAATAATTTCATCTACTTTTTTTAAAAAAATATTTAGAAACAATAAAATATTCAAAATAAAATATATTTAAAAATTAATTGAATAAAGTTACCAATTTCTTCCTAGTCGAATATTTTAATTTTAATGATTTATTTATTTTTATTTGGACCTATAATATAATTTTTTCTAAATGTAAATCACAATATTACTCTTTTTCCCACTGTTTTTATTTGTTTTCTTTTCACTCTTGTACCTAGTTTAAGTAGAGTTTTTCTTAAAATTATTTAAGATTTTTCAGTTATTTTTTTATAATTTATAGTTTTTATTTTTTTTAATAATTTTTTTAAAATAAAATGCACACAATAATAAGATTACTAATATGTGATATAATCTTTATTATTACATTATAAAAAATTAATATTAATAAAAAATATTAAAAATAATATATAAAATTAAAATTTAATTACTAATATGTATATAATTTTTAAAAATTTCAAAAATTATTAAGTTACCAAATATATATTTAAATTTAATAATTAAAATGTTGGACCAATCAAGACAATGAAGAGAAATATATATATATTTTATTAGAAATACAACACGATATATGAATATAAATACACGAATCAAATGATTTTAATAGTTAATAGATATATTGTTATTCTTTGAAATCTTTTGTTTGATATGTAATAAGGATATAAACATTTTTTATTAAAATATTACAAATATTTAAATAAATATTATTTTATAATTTATATAAAAAATATTTGAAGAGAAAAACAAACAAGAAAACATTAGAAAAGTCTACCTTAGAAATAATACTATTTGTCAACTCCGGTCTTTTTATTCTCTTTTGATTTTCTAAAGAACCAAACACTTAAAAGAATCCAAAATTGCCTTAAAAAGATTTGGTGGAAGAGTCTAATTTTATTTTCCCTGTTGCCTGAGATTCTCTTTCAACATTGACAACGTTCATCCTTGAAGTATTAGAAAAGCTAGGGATCTCTTTATTAAACTGTTGTATTTTTTCCCCTGAAGATAAGAAGATAAGAAAATGGAGAGTTACTTGAACGAAAATTTTGGAGACGTGAAGCCGAAGAATTCGTCTGAAGAAGCTTTGGAAAGATGGAGGAAACTTTGTTCGATCGTCAAGAATCGTAAGCGAAGGTTTCGTTTTACGGCTAATCTCTCCAAACGTTTTGAAGCTGAAGCTATTCGTCGCTCCAATCAGGTTTTAATACATTTTTTTTTTGGATTTTCCATGTTTTTTATTTATAGTTTTTTTTGCTTGCTTCTTTAGGAAGCTTAACAGAATAAAATGAAATTGAACTATTTCTCAACCGGAGAAAACTGAATTTAATTATTTTCTAACAATGAGTTAAAAGTACCTGATTTCTTTCGGATCTATTCAGATTTCTTTATTTTTCAAATCTAATGAAGAAGATATAAGCATATTTCTTTATTTTTCAAATCTAATGAAGAAGATATAAGCATCTGATTTGATCTTATAGTTTTTAATCTTTTTTTCTGTAAGATTAAATTAATAACTTTCAACTTGCCTAAGATTAAGAAGTTTGAAGTTGAATATAATTAGGTTTAGATCAGCTGATCTATAACTGCCTAATCAACTTTTTTCAATGTTTCAATTTTTTTTTTTGAGATCTCGCTATACTTGTGCGTTTATTTGAAGTACGGCTTTGCAAAACAAATGGCATTGTGGTTTTCAGCTAGAATACGATGTTTATATCTCTGTGTTCTGAAGTTTTCTAACGAAAATATGATTGTTTAATTAGTGTTTTATGGTCCAAAATTGTTACTATATTTGTTACAGAAAGTATACTTGGTTGGTTTTCTTCTGATGGTATTTAAGCCTTGCACTGTTGAATGTAGACATTTACCTTAAATGAACTGGTTTTATGAGATACAAGAGTTACTTGAACTTGAAATTGCCATGAACTATAAGGATGAAATACAAGAACTGTTTGTGCATAATTTTTCATGTTAATTCTTTTGTTGCTGTGTTATAGGAAAAATTTAGGGTTGCAGTTTTGGTTTCACAAGCCGCTCTTCAATTTATACATGGTAAGAACCTCTCATTCTGATGCATGGCTAGGTTTAACGACTTTCTGGATGTTTCCATTATGTGTTCATTCCTTTAATCTCCCAACAGGTTTAAACTTGTCTATTGAATATGAAGTGCCTGAAGAAGTTAAAGCAGCTGGTTTTCAGATTTGTGCTGACGAGTTGGGATCTATTGTCGAAGGCCATGATGTGAAGAAGTTGAAAATTCATGGTGGGGTTGAGGATATAGCAGCCAAACTCTCTACTTCAATTGTTGATGGTATTCCTACTTCTGAGAATTTGATAAATGAAAGAAAACACATTTATGGAATTAATAAGTTTACCGAAACCCCTCAACGAGGATTCTGGGTTTTCGTGTGGGAAGCCCTTCAAGATACAACCCTTATGATACTAGCTGTTTGTGCCCTTGTCTCTCTTGCTGTTGGGATTACAGTGGAAGGATGGCCGAAGGGTGCCTATGATGGTCTTGGAATTGTTTTGAGCATTCTGCTTGTTGTGTTTGTCACTGCCACAAGTGATTACAGACAATCTCTACAGTTCAGAGATTTGGACAAGGAGAAGAAGAAAATAACGGTTCAGGTTACTAGAGATGGGCTGAGGCAGAAAATATCAATATTTGATCTAGTTCCTGGTGATATTGTTCATCTTGCAATTGGAGATCAGGTCCCAGCTGATGGACTCTTTATTTCGGGGTTTTCAGTTTTGATAAATGAATCCAGTTTAACCGGTGAGAGTGAACCAGTTAATGTGAATGCAATAAACCCTTTTCTCCTCTCTGGAACCAAGGTGCAGGATGGATCGTGTAAGATGCTTGTGACTACTGTTGGGATGAGAACTCAATGGGGGAAACTAATGGCCACTCTTAGTGAAGGTGGAGATGATGAAACCCCATTGCAGGTCAAACTGAATGGAGTTGCCACAATTATTGGGAAATAGGTCTGTATTTTGCTGTTGTGACATTTGCTGTTCTGGTACAAGGATTATTTAGCCGCAAGCTAAAAGATGGCACACATTGGACTTGGTCTGGAGATGATGTAATGGAAATGTTGGAATTTTTGCTATTGCTGTTACAATTGTTGTCGTTGCTGTTCCTGAGGGACTGCCTTTGGCTGTTACATTAAGCCTTGCTTTTGCCATGAAGAAGATGATGAATGACAAGGCCCTCGTCCGACATCTGGCTGCTTGTGAGACAATGGGATCCTCTACAAGTATTTGCAGTGATAAAACTGGTACATTGACTAGTAACCACATGACTGTTATGAAAACATGCATTTGTGAGGAAATCAAGAAAGTGAGCAGCTCCAACGAGAGTAATCATTTTGGATCTTTAGTTCCTGAATCTGCTGTGAAAATTTTACTTGAGTCGATATTTAATAACACTGGAGGAGAAGTTGTTAATAACAAAGACAAGAAAAATGAGATACTCGGAACACCAACAGAAACTGCCCTTTTAGAATTTGGGTTATTGCTTGGTGGGGATTTCCAAGCAGAACGAAGAGCATCTAAAATTGTGAAAGTTGAGCCTTTCAACTCTGCAAAGAAGAGAATGGCTGTAGTTATAGAGCTTCCTGAAGGAGGCTTCCGAGCCCACTGCAAGGGTGCTTCTGAAATAATCTTAGCTGCATGTGACAAAGTAATAAGCTCAAATGGGGATGTTGTTCCCCTGACTGAACCAACCACCAATCATCTAAAGAATACAATTGAACAATTTGCTAGTGAAGCTCTTAGAACTTTATGTGTTGCTTACATGGATATGGGAACTGATTTTTCTATTGACAGCCCCCTTCCCCTTCAAGGATACACTTGTATAGGCATTGTTGGCATCAAAGATCCTGTACGCCCTGGTGTTAAGGAGTCTGTTGCAATATGTAAGTCAGCTGGTATTACTGTTCGAATGGTCACTGGAGACAACATTCACACTGCTAAGGCTATTGCAAGGGAAATTGGAATTTTAACCGACAGTGGTATTGCAATTGAAGGTCCAGATTTTCGGGAGAAATCTGAAGAGGAATTGCATGAACTTATTCCAAAAATACAGGTCCATACCTTTATTTTATTTTTCTACATTAACTCTATAAACAATAGATTATTCTGTTTTTTCATAGCCTCTAGGTATTAGTTGACTTAAGTTTAAATTACATCCTTAAAATAATTGCTTTTAAAAATGCTGTGCTACTAAGCAGCTTCCCAGGAAGTCCTGTTGCTAGGTTGCTATGCTTACCTCATAGACAGTACCTATGACGACTTTCTTATAAAGCTTTAATATGAACTGTTGACCTTGTATTTCTTTAATATATAGTTTCTATTTAAGTTGAACTCTAAGGTGAATATAGTACTAGTAATGAATCAGCACTTGTAGCATTGTGTGGTTAGTCTGTTGGCTTATATTGCAGTGGACCAATTTAAGGATTTGTCATTCGGATGCTCATAATTTAAAAGGAAGGTCACCAAATATATGAAATTCGTGCAGGTAATGGCTCGATCTTCACCTATGGATAAACATACTCTTGTCAAACACCTTCGGACTACATTTGGAGAAGTAGTTGCTGTCACCGGAGATGGTACAAATGATGCTCCTGCACTTCATGAAGCTGATATTGGGCTTGCGATGGGCATTGCTGGGACTGAGGTATATCTTACATGTTCCTTCACTTTCTTTCAAAAAAGTTATAACTTCCAACATAAATCTCTCTAGTGGCCAAGTTACAGAAAATTTTATATTGTTAATTAGTTTCATCGAAGATGCTGTGAATTTAGACTAAATGTTAGGATGTTGAATTCTTTGTGCTACCTTGTTGGTCGTTTCATTCTAGCCATGCTTCATTTGAATCATAAAAACTTCACATGCTCAATCTTTAGCTGCTTTGAAGGGTTTGTTTTGCTAGATTACCCAGTATAAGTCGGTTATGATTAATGTTGCTACTTTATCAAAAAGGAGCAGGGTTTTAAGTTTGTCCATTACTGCATGTAATTTGCTTAAAACCGATTCACAATTTACAGGTGGCCAAAGAAAGTGCAGATGTCATAATCCTGGACGATAACTTTTCCACAATTGTAACAGTGGCTAAATGGGGACGTTCAGTTTATATAAATATCCAAAAATTCGTTCAGTTTCAGCTGACTGTCAACGTGGTTGCCCTAATTGTAAACTTTTCTTCTGCTTGTTTGACTGGTAAGAGACCCTATTATTGTCACTTTGATACAGGACGGGCTTATCCCTTCTTTTAAATGAATTAAACAATATTGTCATTCCCTACTAATTTAGGATTTGATATGGTTTCTTGTTTCTCAGGAAATGCTCCACTCACAGCTGTTCAACTTCTATGGGTCAACATGATCATGGATACTTTAGGGGCACTTGCATTAGCTACCGAGCCTCCTAATGATGACTTGATGAAGAGATCTCCAGTTGGTAGGAAGGGAAACTTCATCAGTAATGTAATGTGGAGGAATATTTTAGGGCAGTCTGTATATCAATTTATGATCATATGGATTCTTCAGACTAGAGGAAAGACCTTTTTTCATCTTGATGGCTCGGACGCCGATTTGATATTGAACACCCTTATTTTCAACTCATTTGTCTTCTGCCAGGTAATGTTAAAATATTTTTGATCTTTGATTTGATTTCTATATTTTCGAACTTTGAATGTTTATGTATAGTCAATTTGTGTTCTATATTTTCTTCAGGTTTTCAACGAAATTAGCTCTAGAGAGATGGAAAAGATCAACGTTCTCGAAGGTATACTAAACAACCATGTGTTTGTGGCTGTGCTAAGTTGCACTGTCATATTCCAAATCGTAATTGTGGAGTTCCTGGGTACCTTTGCAAGCACTTGTCCTCTCACTTTGCAACAGTGGTTCGTCAGCATCTGCCTAGGTTTCTTAACAATGCCGATTGCTGCTGCTTTGAAGCTGATTCCTGTAGGATCAATCTGAGATTACAGCAATATCGAAGAGGTGATCTTTGATGTTTGTCTGAGTTTTTTACCCTGAATTTTTGTCTTTCGTTTTGTTTAATCACTTCATTATACAGGAGTAGATTAGTGTCATTGGATATGATAGACGATTGGTTACACAGTTGAGTTGTTTTAAAAGGCTAACTAATATTTTGGGGAGGTCACTTAGACTATTGCAAGACCTTTCGGAACATGGAAAAATTATCTTCTTTTACCGGAGCTTTACTTGGAGTTGAGGAGATTTGTACAGACATTTATAATTTGGATTTATGAATCAGAAGCTTTTAAAATCCTAAAGGGTTTTTACATTTTGAAGGCATATCTCATGCCAAAAACTGTTGGCATCGGTTTAGCAATTTGACATCTGATTAGAGAAAAAATAAATTGATGAAGGATGTTGTTGAGGGGAATTAAACTTGGTTTTTAAGGCCAAATCTTATATTTGGGATAAAAATTATAACATTTTATATATATCTTATATTTTAGTTAATGTTAGAAAAAAAATCATCGAGCTACTTCAGTGGTAAAAGAGACTGTTGTTCTCTCTTGAAATTTTGCATTCAAGCAATTATATCTACATGGTATGTACTTTGTGAATGATAGCTCTTCCATTCTGTACTTCCCCTATATTGCATCAGACCCTCGACAAAGTTCCTCAAGACATTCCATCATTGCCTTGTGAGACTTCGTTTTCGAAGAAATGATTTGAAAAGGAAAAAATGGTTTGAGGGGGACGGGTTAGCGGTCTCCGATGGTGAGAGTAGGGTGGGGGTTGCTATTTGGTGATGAGATTGTCGATGAGCCACCGTTTACCGATGTGAAGCGGATGTGAAGGTGAGGCTGTTGATACATGGAAGGTTTTACCGTCAAGGGTGGAGGTATCAATTTAAGATTTTGGGTTTTAAGTATATGATTTTAGGGTCTAATTTTGGGTTTAGGGGATAATTTAGGGTTTTTAATTAATTAATTTATTTATAATCTTATATGGTAAAAGATATTAATATAATACGTCACATCAAAGAAAAAATTAATAAAATGAGTGTTTAAAACATGAGTATTTCAAAGATTAAGTGACAAATAGTGTAATTTACTCAATTTTCATTAAAAATAAAATGATGATTCATTTATATTTTAATTAACTTTTTATTAGATCATGTAGTCCAAAATATGTAATTTAAGTTATAACATTAACATGATTAAAATTGAGTATACGTGAATAAGAAATAATTCTCAAAGATCCTTTAGATCGTAAAAAAATAACATTTAAATTACAAATTTATCTTCTGATTTAAATTATGCTAGTAAATTTGAGTTTGCAAAATAAATTTTTAATGCAATTATAAACATAATCATTGAATTGTTAATATTAAAATTAAAAATATAAGAATTTTAAACTCCTTTTTATTTTTAATCTTGCAATAACTATAATTTGAAATATTTATGAAATGTAAACACTGATGGCTACTTAATTAAGTCGAAAGACAATAAAAGAAGAACTAAGAGCATAAATTTATATTTAGCATTTTTACAAAATGTTTAAAAAAAAATCTCTAATTGCCAGTTTTCCTTGTTTGACCTGCGATGATATTAATTTTGGTGTTGATATTTGATTTTATGTTTTCGTTATTTTTTTCATTATTTTATTATATCACTTATTGTTTTTCTTTATTTTCTTTTAAATTTTCATTAGCATTGTCTCTATAACACGCTTTCGTTTATCTTTATGGCATGATTTCCTCTATCTTTTGATATGTTTTCCGTCATTTGGTCGTTTTTTAAATTTTTTCAGGGATATATTCGGTGACGCATCGACTGATTAAGAAGACGTTTTTTTGTTATTTTATCGATCTTCCTTGCTTTGGATCTTCATAATGTATTTGGATATTCGATTTGCAATGAGAGATAGTTTTCTCACAACGTTGACTCTGATTTGTAATTTTCGATGATCTTTTAATAGTTTGATTTATTATTATTTTTTGTTTACCTTAGATATGTAAGTATCTATTTATTAGTCGAATTTTTTTAGATGATTTTTAACAATTTTCTTATATAATCCTTGTATGATCTCAAATGGTCGGTTTCTTGTGTCAATATTATAAGAATATGTTCTAATTATATGTTTAATTTATATTTATGTCCTAATTATATATTTATTTTGGATGAGTTTTTTTTTTATTTTTTTGACATTAAGTACGATATATATATATAAAGTTATAATACAAATCTTAAATATGTGATTTGGCTTTGTGGTTAAGGTGTGCCTTTTATGACGTAGTTTCAATTCCCTATAACACCTTTTTTCTTCAATTTATTTTTCATGTAATTAGATGGTGATGACACATGTCACCATATGATAAAAGAATTAAATTTATTAAATTATATTAAAATTAAGATTAAACTGATATAATGTATAAGTAATTATACTATTTTTGTTAAATGTCACACCAGTTTATCCTAAAATGTTAATCGTGACTTGATTGGAATCATTTAAATAGATAAATGATCTAATTGACAAAATTAAAAAATCAATAGTCAGATTATAATCCTTTGATAATTAAGTAATCATGAGTGTAGTTTACCCTAACAATAATTAACCTTATAAAAAGAAATGTTATTATTTTCTTTTTCTTAAACCAAACTTATAAGAGAAGTTATGGGATAAAAGTATCTTGTTCTTTCGATCCCTAAGGTTTCGAATACTTAAAACGTAGGTAGTTTTTCCCAAATCATCTATACAATTTTATCTAGGGATGGTTATATTTTAAGTATTTTTTTGTATTTTATATAGATTATTTAATTTTGTACCTTCTATATTTTTCAATATAATTTCTTAAATTTACACCTCTCGATATTCGTCCCTGATTTTATCATAGTTTAACTGATAATAATATTTTTCATCAATTTTAATTAGTAGAATGTCACCAACAGACCAGATTAGGTACACCACCTTATATTTCTTGATACGTTTGCAAACACAAGGTCCCATTTGGCCAAAAAGACCTATTTAAACCAATTTTATACTATATTTATTGAGTAATTGTGTATTATTGAACTTGAAAAAACTTTTAATTCAAAATTACTTCTCTATACAAGACAATATGATGTGTGGTTATGTTAGAAGTAGTTTATAGATTGTGACGAGATAACAGTATCAACAAGAGGAGTCTAAAACGGGGTCTTACATAGTACAATAATAATTTACTTAATGAAATGTACTATCCGAAGCCTTAAAATGAGTTGAGCTTGTAAATCATTTGGACTTCATTTTTTATATTTGATTTATTTGTTTTGGTTTTGCTCTAAATGTTTTCATACTTGAAAGTTTTATGTTTTTTTTTAATTTCTATTTGATTTATTATTGAAAATTTTGAAAGTTTAAGTTTTAACAATCATTTTAATAATTTAATATGACATTCTAAATTATCTGAATAATTTAAATCAGGTTGAGGGTGTTACAACTGAATAAAATTTAAATGACAGTTAACCATGATTTGGGACTCAAAAGACACAAATGTCCTTGTACAAAATATAAAAAAAAAAAAAAATCTAGACATGCGTTAGGCCACGGCGGTGTAAATCCTATTCGCACCCACACAGCAGCACCTCATCATCCCACAACGACACAGTTTGACAAAAGAGTTTATTAGCCAAAATAAATAAAATACTATAAAAACGAAGATTAATATTAAAAAAATGTAAAACGATTCGAGTACGTTTTAGCCCTAATTTTTTTTCTTGTACCGCTGTTAGTGTTTTTTCCTTTTCCATCTTTATAACCGATGAGACACTAGTCTAGTATTCATTATTTTTTTATGCTGTATTTTTTTAATTTTGTTTTTATTTTTAATAATACTACATTTATGACATGTTTTTCTCTGTCTTTTGACATATTTATGGTCGTCATTTTCGTTTATTCTTTCTTTTTCAGGGATGGATTTGACATCATTACGACCAATAAAAGTTATGCTAATTTGTTATCATGTTGATTTTTCATGCTTTGGATCATTGGATTGAATTTAGATACATGATTTGCTTTCGTTGATAGTTTTATCATGTCACTTAATTTTGATTTACGGTTTATCGGTGGTTTTTCAATAGCTTGATTTCCTTTTGTGGTTCGTTTATCAATACAGTCAGATATGTTCATATACATTTTTTATTCGAGTTTATTTGATTAAGTTTTTAACTTTTTACTTATATGTCAATGTGTGATCTTAATTGACTAGTTCTTATGTTAATTATTATGTGTTTTAGCTTACAATTATGGTCATAAACTTTTATTATAATTAAAATGTTTTCTATTTTTAATAAAACTAATGGATTTTATCTTGTAATTTTTTTACTAATATAGTGATATACATACTATCTAAGAACTTAGCTTAATATAAACCAATTAGGGACTAAAAATGAGTTATTTTATTCACATATAATTTATTAGTATAAATATTAGTTTTAAAAATTAAATGATATATGGATACAACTATATATATATATATGAATTAATCAAAACTTATATATTTTACTTTTATTAAAAATACTTTTTTCCATGAAATCTCGAAAAAATAATGTGAGTTTGTAATCTTTTATTAAATTAATATAATCATCTACTTATGAAGAAATTTATTAATTTAAAATATAAATGAATGAATGAATAAAAACAATATATTTAAATTTTATTAACTCCGTGAACTCTATATCTAAAAACTCATTAATTTAAATTTAAATAAGTTTATAAATTTACATAAGGTAATTATGTTAATTTAAAACTTATAGATTTAAGGTCATTGGATGAGTAAAAATAGACAACTGATATTAAATCTTTGTTTGTTTTGTTTTTAGTGAATATCCTTCTCGTTTTTTTCTGTTAATCTCAGCCATCTATTTTCACTTATCGCACAATCTTAAATCTGTATAAAATTAAAAAATTTACATTATATAATTGGATCATATCCGTCTATTTTCACTCATCTAACAATCCTACCAACTAAAAGTTTTACGATATATGAATCCTACCAATAGTCCTAAATCTGTATAAAACTAAAAAATTTACATTATTGCTATCCAATTTGTTGCTAAATTCAGTTCAAAAAGAAGCATAAACTGTTTTTTTTTTAACTTGGAGATCATCGCGCATCTATAAGCACGTGCTCTGTTGGAAATATATATAACATAAATAGAGAAATTGAATGAAACAAATGGGATGATAATTTATTTTTGCTTCTCGTGATTGAAAATTTGATTTAATTTCATCTCTGACTTCTCAATACTACAAGTCAGCAATTGTATATATGCTACTCTAATATTATTATTATTCTTTTTTTTTTCTGAATTGTTATCAATAATTAGTAATGTGTAGGGTAGCTCCTTTCTTCCAGGGTCATACAAGTGTGGAGATCTTCTTGTTGAGACCCACATCGACGCCATTGTAAGCAATGGGAGCATACATCCATAGATCATCAGAGCTTAAAAGCTGCAATCAATCAAGCAAAAAAAGGGAAGTTTCATATTAGTAATTACGACTTAAATCATATATTTATTTTTTTAATCAAGATTTTACTGAATCCATATTTCCTCAGTTACCTTGATCTGTAGCTGCAAAAACTTCACATAATGAACAGCCTCTTCAAGCATTGTGCTGATATCAACCTGTATTATTATCAATATAAATGCCTGAATTATAAGTAATTCCAACCCCACATATTTGTATAAACATTATGGAAGAATAATATTGGTTAATTACCTTTGTTCCATTGGGGACAAGGTTTTGCAAAATCCTCAATCTCTCATTGATCCTCTCTCTCCTTTTCTGCAACAATCGGAACAAATAATTAAGTAGATATATATGGGGAACTGCAGATAATAATTTATGATGATGGCTAGAATAGAGGGTGGTATAGGAAATTCTTACCCTTGCATAAAGACTCTGGGGATCAGTTGCTGATCCTCTACTGGCTCTTGTCTTTCCATTCAAGTTAAGAGCTTGAGAGCCTTTGGTGTCCTGAGAAACATTGTCATCATCTGAACTACATGTGCCTGTACCATTTCCATGATCTGCAACCATGCTACACTCTCCTTCATTGCCATTCACATTCATCTTGCAATTCTTTTTTTCTCTTACATCTTTGGAAACCCGTGGTCGTTTCTTTGTGTTGTCAGCTGAAATGCTATTGGTTTTACCCCCTCCGGTATGCAATTCCATCCTCTCGAGAAGCAACTCGTTATTAGCAAGCATTACATCACTACTCAAATCTTCAGGGACATTAACAATGTTTGGGACGGCTGGGGGAAACGAGTTGGTAATTTTAGTGATATCATTCGTTGCAGCAATATGATTAGAGCCCGCAAAGTTGTAGGGATCAAGAGAATCACAGTGAAAAGTTTGAAAACTAGAGTGGAGAGCATTGGCACAGGGCATAAAAATCTCATCCGCATGAGGATTTGAAAAAAAGCTCAAGGCCTCATCATGCTCGAGAGGGAACGAAAACTGATGAAGAATTTGTTGTGAGAAATCAAGCTGATCTTCAATGGAGAACACTTTGTTAAACCATTCTCCATCAGGAAAAGCTGCAAGCGACTCCATTGAGAAAATGTGCTTTTAAAGATGTGTGTTTGAGGGTGAGCAAAAACCAGGGAGATTTATACCCCAACCCTAAAGAGAATGTTAGCAAGGATTGACTTACATTAATTTATTGAGTTGTTAATTCACAATTATTAAGCTGTTACTAATCCAAGAGTCCACTGTGGCCCAAACCCAGGCAAAGTACAACTCATAAGGTCGCCAAGTTCATGAATTGATAGATTAAAATAAAGCTAATGACCCTTAAACACTTTGGACCTGTTAAAAATTGGAATTAAAATGACAAAAGGGGTCCAACAACAATCATTGAGAGGTGACTAATTAGTCATTGAAGAGGTGATTTAGTGAGGCCAGAGAATGAAGCACGCGTAAGGATTAGACTACTCTTAGTTTCCTCCCATTTTTAAAATGACACAACACAACGTGGGATTGAATATAACAAACAGGAGGAATGTTAATATATATATATATATATATTAAAAAAAATCAAGTGCAGCAAACGGACGGCCAGATCGTGGGGATTGTGTAGGACATTCTCTAAAATGAACTAAAATATCCGACAAGGTAACCGCCAAACTCGCTCCCTGTCCTAAATGGGCAACTGGCATGCACCTAACAATTTAGAAAAGCCGAGCAGAGTTATATATGAACATTAACCCTAATCTGGGTAAGGTTGACTCTCCTTACCTGCACCAAAAGCATGCACCTGGTGAAGAGTTTCTAACCCGAAACCATGTGAAAGTTATAAATAAAAATGCAATTATTTCGCAATAATTAAAAAAATGGAGCATCTTTTTTCCTTGTTCATGATTTATAGGGTAAATTCATGAATTCTTTGCATAGTTTCAAAAAGAAAAAGAAAAAACAAATCTCTATCAGATTTTGTTAAAAGGCAAACTATAGATCACATAAAGATGAGCAACTTTGTGAGAAATAAATAAATCCAAGATTCCCCGAAAGCTGAATATATATCTATGACAAACTCAATATGATCCCGGCTGTAAAATCTTAGTTAAAGATATATTTATTATTATTTGTGCACAGGAGTGGAAAAATAATTTTTCATGATCAAGGTTTAAATCATATAGATTGTTTTTCATATTTATTTAAAATTTTAAAAGATAAATAAGTTGAACACTTGTTACTATTTTAATATTATTCGTGAATTTTTTTTTCCATCACCGGTACATTCACTATAAGAAGTAAGATCTTTAGCGGCTATTTACTTGTGACATTGAAGAATTTCATCACAAAAAGTAAGTTATTTGTGACGAAAATTATTTTTGTCACTTTTGAAATGAGTAATTGTGACTTCTTTCTATTTGGTCACTCTTTTATGTAATTATTATAACAATCTTAAAGTACATTACAAGTAACTCGTCACTAATTGTATTTTATTGTGACCAAAGCCTCCAAGGGTTAGGTTTTGAAATAGATGATTCTATAATGGTTATAGAAATTTTGAATTTTAAAATTTTGTAATTTAGTCCTCAATTTATAACTTTATCGATTAGTATATGAGTTGATCCCTATTTTTTAAGTCAATAATTTTGAAAGAAAACACATTTAATAATATGTTTAATAAATAAAATACATGTTTTAAGTGATCCATAATATTTTAAAATATAACAATTAAAAATTATCAATATGGAGCCTTTTTCAAATCTGATGGATTTGTTTCTTTCAACATTGTTTTGGAATGAATGAAGATGACTAATCTATACATTGATATATTTCATAGTAGTTGTTTAAACATTTATTGAAAGTATACATGATACTCTACTGAATATTATCAATCAAAACTGAATCGAATAAGAAATAAATGATCAATTTGACTAATTCTTCAATTAAATTTGTAAACTAAATAGATATGGTTTTGATTGATTAATGAACTATTTATAGGATTAATCCATATACATAAATGTGTTTTAGTGTATAACTTGAAGAGTGTTGTATTATTGAACATGGTCTACATTGTATCGAATTAGATTGAAGATTGAAGAAGAAGAGTACTTCTGTGACTGTTTTGACTGGAAAAACTAAGAAATGACAGTAGAAATGACATTGAGAGGAGGCGCGACAATTGCCAATTTTAAGTGCGAGGAACTTAAGATTTTTTTTTGGAAGAAGATGACTTTATTTTAATTTACTTTTATTATGATTATTGTCGTTAACTACCATTTTTGATCAATTTTACCCTAACAATGGGAAGACTCTGTTTGGCCAGTAGATTAACATAATTTGGTTTCAAATTGATTCGACGGTTGACAATGGCATATTAAAAATTATTTGTTTTTAGTTTTGATTGAGATTTGAGGAGATTGAAAGAGTTTGAAAAAAGGAAAGAAAAAGAAAAAGAAGAGTAGTTCAATGATCTTTTCGACCAAAGAAATTAGTAAATGATGACAGAAATGGCAATGAAAGGAGGAGCGATTGCTACCAATTTCAAGTCTGAGAAACTTAGTTTTTTTAAGGAAGAAGACAATTTTAACACCTCACATCTTTTTTTCTCAACAACAACCGATGATAGTGGCCGTAATAAAATCAAATTAAAAGTTCATTGATTATATTGAAAAATAGTGAAGTTCAATGAACAAAATGCAAGGACCCTAAAACTTCAAGGATCATTTATGTAATTTAGGCTTGAAACTATAGTACTTTGGCCCTTATGAATCCGTCGAACCCCTAATTAAGAGATTGATGTGTGAACAGAGACTAATTGTGGGTTTTCTTAAAAGAAAAATATCTTATCTTATTTTGGACTTTGGAGGCGAAGTTCAGATGGTGTTGTTTAGAACTTTGCACCGGCCAATGCACGACCTTTCAAACAACAAAACTCCATCATCTCTGGAAATTTAAAAGAACAAAATCATAAAGAAAATTTGCCGTTGTGGGATTTTTTAAGTTGTCAAAATCTGATTTTATTCTTCATTTGGAATCTAACATGAGCTGTTTCCTCACTAATTTATTGAAGTTAGTTTAAATTTCGTTTCTTTTTCAACTTGATTTTTGAAAATTAAAAATATGACAAAGCAATAATACGGTAGCTTGTTTAAAATATTAATTACATTGATAAACTGTAATTCACAAAAATAAATAAATAAATGCACCTTATAGGAGAATATTCGTGAAAAATGAGGTTCCATATTCGAAGCTTACCTATATAAATTATACACAAATTTTAGTTAATGAATAAATTAATTTGTTTGGGTTCATTTAATCTTTGTTAAAACAAATAGTTAATGTTAAATTTAGTCGTAACACATTTGTCATACCTCAAATTAGGGCCTAAAATTTTCTAAAAAAAATTCCGAGGACTAAATTGAAATTTTAATTAAATTCGGAGACCAAAGTGAGATTTTATCTAAATTTGGATCCAAATTCAAAAAGTAACAAAAACTAGAGAACCTATAGAGTAATTTTACCATTTTCCTTTTTAAGGAGTATATAACCTCATATATGGAAAATTTCCTAATTTAGAAACCTTATTCTCTCTCTCCAAGCTTTCCTCTTTTAGCAAGAAACTTCAATCGACGTTTCGTCACCGATCGTTGTTCTGTTTTTTTACACCTCCCGCACCATCGTGTTCCTTGCATCGTCCCGAGTCCACCGGTGTTCTTCTTGTCTCCGTTGCCGCCAGCGTGTAAGGGGTGAGGAAGATCAAGTTTCTGACGTTGCGAAATCAAGCTCTTTTCCATTCACCGCTGTGAACCGAACTTGGTAAGTGTCTCAAAACCTCTTAAAATGCATATAGGAATTTTTTCGTAATTTTTTTCGACCCCGAAGGCCTCGTATGTGCCCCCACGCACTGCCGCTGCTCATGGGGAAAGTCCACCGCCTGGGGGCTTCTAGAAGCTGCTCGACCCGACCCGTCTACCTTACCTGACTCGCCTGTTCGACTAGATCTGACCCGATCTGGTCTAATCCGAACCGAACCGGTCAGCAGTTGACTGTTTGTTGGGATTTGCGGAAGCTCGAATCGATAATCGGAATGGTTTGCAAAGAGGGTTGAGATCAATTTTTGTGTTTATAAAGTAAGGAGATTGAAAGATAAAGAATTGCACAGCGATTTATAGTGGTTCGACTTCTCAACCAAGTCTACATCCACTACCTTAGCTCCTCACCAAGGATTTTCCAACAAATTCGCTAATTTGTTCTTTCTTTTTCAAGGACAAAGAGATAACCTTTACAACTCTCTAGTTTTTCATGGGCTAAACTAGAACCTTTCCCTAGCTTTTAGCAGGCTCAGCTAGAACCAAAACCCCTTTACAATGAAAGGAAATATAAACAAAAAAACCTCTCTAAGGTAGGTGTTTACAATAATTAAGCTCACAAGAACAAAATATTTACAAGAGAAAGATGAAATAAGATTGAAAAAATCTTCTCTTGTGCTTGATTGCTTGGATAGTTGTTCTATATATTCTTCAAGTGTCCTTAGCTTGTTTTTATAGCTTGAAATGAGTTTGAAGTCGTATCTACCCGTTGGGGATTAATTTTCAGCAAAATAAGGTTGTCCAGAACTAGAAGTATCGGTACTCCTCTATAGGTGTCGGTACTACCTTTGTTAATTTCAAATTTAACTAGTCGTTGCTAGCCATTGGAGCCTTGTGGTATCGATACTACATAAGGGGTATCAGTACTACTTTGCACTATGGTATCGATACGCTTGCATGGTATCGATACCCATTTTGCATTCGATGTTTTGAGCATTCATGGTAGTAACGGTAATACCTTGATGGTATCGATACTACCTTTGCCTAAGGTATCGATACTACATGTAGGGTATCGATACCCATTCATGTAGTATCGATACTGCAAAGAACATTATCGGTACTACTTGTAATTTTGCTCAATTCATCTTTTAAATGGACTTTGAATTATTTTTGAAACGTTTTAAAACTTCCAATAAATTCAATTCAAGTCCAAAAACATTTTGCCATAAATTGTTATATCAAAATATAGTTCAACAATCTCCCCCTTTTTGATATAACAAAATATTTGAA